GACGCAACATCTAATATGAACTTTCTCTTTTACATATGAGTGTTATTAAATGGGTGTTTTCATATCAGTTCTGTTTTTTGTTCCAGTACAGTCGTTTTAGCTGTTTTGGCTCTAGGCGTAGCTGATGGCCAATACAACTGATCGAGACCCAATAGGACTGTATGAGGACATGATACAGGATTAATATGAAAACATCCATTTTATGACACCTTTATTAACCAATGACTTAAAATAATCACGAAAAGCTGACTGAAGATAAACAAGACTGTAGGAAGACTCAATCAGGATCAATATGAACTATTTGGGTTTAATTATCATTCTAACGCATGGAATGTTGAATAACCCTTAATTATTAATAATGTGAATTACCCTTTTATTCACCAAAAAATAACACTTTGAGCCACCTCAATTTTTAAACAAGTTATCTCCCATCAAAATGACGTCACTGACGAATGTAAAATGGCAATGGCCAGGTTAGAAAGTCCATGGACTGGAGTGATGAAGAAACAAGTATTTGAAAACCATTTGATGCCGAGGATAGCTTTAACAAACAGCCCTTTACAGGGCCACCAATATTTTATAAAAGATTCTTCATTTGTTGTACATATGAGGTATTCTAAGTCACAAAAATAATTCTTTGACATAAGTGTTTTGACAATTTGTTACTACAGTAAGACATGTACAAGAGCTTCTTTGACATGTATTTTCAATGGTTGGAAGGGCCCCTTGGTATTATTAAACAAATGTGGCCCATTCAATGCGGTGCATATCCAAGATTGTCAACCCTACAAATTTCTCTCACTTCGAACTGCACCCTCAGAGAAATAATCCTTTACAATATTCACCCTTTCTATGGTCCATAATTATATATACTTAAAGGATAAAATAGTATAAAATATGAAAAATAACAATCACTCTAACATCAAACTTGTTGAAATCTAATACAATTATTTCGCTTAATACACACATCAATTTTCTGACATCTTTTTGGACAAAAAACAGGAAGTTAAAATCATGTTTTCAGACACTAGTAAAACATCTGTATTAACCGGCTTTTCTGTATTAGACCTGTATTAATGATCAGTTCTCAGACACATTGAATAGTATTAAATAGACAATTTATAATGCATTTTAAGTCATTGGTTAATAATTCTTCTAACAATTATTTCACTTGCATTGCCATTTTACCATAGAAATATTTGTGAAGATATATCTGGTATCACTTCAAATTCATATTAATACATTCTAAGTAAATTTATCAATATGATTAAAGGAGGTGTGGGGTATACCTCACTGATACAGCAACCCAACAACATAAATAACCAAAGGACATCAGCCACTAGACTCATTTCACAAAAAATCTTACAAGTAAGTCATGAATATTTCAGTTATAAATTACGATCAATTTGAGTCGTAAGATTTTTGTGAAAAGAACCCCGTACTTTGAAATAAATCCCAATTGCCATAAGTTCTTCAGCACCTGGAATCTTCTCTATGTTCTTGATATTGAGAACAATGTTGTATCAGATTCATTTTGTCCAAAACCTAATGCTTTATTAAAGTCAAATGAATAAGTTTTTATTTACTTTTAAAAAATAAGGCAAAATGACAAAAAATATTTAGTGATGAAGAACACAATGATATTATAGTCACAAAACAAAATAATTTTTTGAAATCTTATTAAACTTTTCCTATATTTTGCAACAAAATTTAATATAAAAAACTCAAAATAATGAAATGATAATTGTTTTTGTAACAATATTAGCACCAATGCATGACCATCATTAAGACTTTTATCTGCACCAATCATCTTCTTCAAACAATTATTAATTTTCAAACTCAGTTCACACAAATTTTACAACAGCATATTCTGTTGGTGGGTCTCCTTTTTTGGTTCGAGGTTTTGGTTTAGGTTTCAGTGGTTTTGGCGGCGGTATCCCAGGAGGATTAGAAGCTATATCCAGTTCTGCGTAATGTAGTTCCTGTTTGTGTGGATGAGGTGGAGGTGGCTGTGCACTAATTAGGTTCTCGTCACACTGAAATAGTCAAAAGGAAAACTTATCTGAATCAACATGTCTCAAGCATGGCAGATATCTTCACATCAAATTACCTCTGCAACCTATTTAAGTATAACGCCCTGCTATTTCTTATTTTGTTTATGTTTTTTTTTAACATGTTTCATGGCAACTATGAAATGTCTAATAATTTCTTAGAATGTTAAAATAAATCTGAGGAATATTCCATCAGCTTTGAAAAACTGTCCTAATTAAACTTCATCATATATTTTTTGTAAAGCTTTAATTTCCCAAATTTTAGTTGAATTCACAATAAGTGATAACCTCTCAACAGAATTAATATCAAGAGAAACCAACTTCCATAATAAAAACATTTTTTTTTTTAATCTTACAATTAAAAGCTTTCAGAGTTTGTTAAATGTCTTGAGTATAAATGCAGTATATTGAGAAATTGTTATCTCAGAATGATAATAAAAGCTTTGATATGATTTTGGTTAAAACAATCAGTTGCAAAAATAGTACATTACAAGAAAGTAGAGACTACATTAATTAAGAAATAATTTTGATTAATGAGCAAGAAAATGATTTTTTTGTTTCAGATTAAAATCGGAATTATTTATCAAAACATGACCTTAGACCCCGTTGATTTTTTGTTTTAAAATGGAGTACTTGTTTTCTAAATCTCAAATATTTTATTAACTACATTTAAAGAATTTTCAAGGTTTACTATATTCCTCAATATATCTGAAATATTTGCCACAAGATGTGAATTAAACAGCTATAAATCAAGATAAATGCCTATTACATCATTTAATAGAAGGTACCCCACCTATTATCGATTTTAAACTTATTGCATTTAAAAATTATCACAATGCCTTATATAAATATGTACTAGAATATATGGCAATTTTTTTCATTTTTAATGTAAAATATCTAAATTCTAGTATAATTCTTTACCGATTCTTAAAATATTAAGGGACTTCATCATCTATGAGCACTAAATTAAGTGATCTAAAGGTTTAAAACCTGCAAATTGTATGCAAGGAGGAAAATGATGTTGCACCAAAAACAAATTGAGCTCTGCCCAGCACAAGGAAGGATTCTGTTGATGTGCTTCATCTGACTGAGATCATAGAACTGCCCTTACTTAAGATCAATTTATAGATTGTTGGGTGTTTTAGGTCCCAGGAGTTTTAGGAAAAACCCAAATAACCTGAAGTTTAAGTTTTTTAATTCCGTTCAAATAAAAGACTAAAAATATATTAGAAATGTCTTACATCTGATACGACTGTTATCTGGAAGAAAACAGTGCTTAATAAAGTTCTGATATAACAATGCAATATATTGTGAGACATACTTAAAGTTAAAGCAGAGGTAAAGTATCTGTTTATTCCATATCTGCCATGCGTTATGCTTGATAAGTTTTCCTTTTGTATCATCTTAAACACCATCTTTTGAGCAGTAACATGCACACATACCAACATTTATAACAAAGACAAGTCACATTTTAAATCAAGCCACAAAATAATACAAAATGCCAACAAAAATAAGCTATCATGCAATTTAGAAATTTTGAAACAAAGCAATTCAAAATTTTGTGCTACTATTATTGAATCAAAAGGAATTTAAATCAAATGCATAAAATCATGATAATTTGAGAACATGTTTGCGATAAATGTAAACTTTGGCCAAAATTAAAAAATAATGAAAAAAGAAAAAAAGCCAAAAATATTTCATTTCTAAAAATAAAAAATGTGTATTAATTATTTACAATACATAATTTTTAAATAGATTTATCAAAAAGGTATTGTGCATGCTTTTGGTTATTAAAGAAATTGGCCCCAAAAAAGCCTGATCAAGAATATAAGTAACATCAGATACATGTATATAAACCATTCACTTACAATATACATTATACAGCTATATCTAGCATTGTGTGCTGTAATATAGTGTACTTATACAGTCAATATACAAATACATACAATAATATCAAATCATTCAATATGAAACTAAAGCGAACCACATCAATTTGATAATATATATTAATAAAAAAATTTAAATAAAAACAAAGCTTGCATTCTTCTTGAAATTATGATGCATATAATATTCAGTTAGTTAAAGGATCTAAAACTATAAAATCAATAAAAACATATCATATAATCCTAATTTGGTTCTTTTCATACCATTTTTAAATTATTGATGGTATTTTAAATGAGAGAGTGTTTCTCAGCTACAATCTCATCGAAAGGCGAGAATATTTACTAAGTAATGATGTCTTAAATTAATGGAGAATGTGTCTATGGGCCACAGATGCCCCCGCTTGTAAATATGCATGATTCAACTTCCACATACCGATGCAGGATTCTGTGTATAATTTTCATTAAATTTGGTTGAGGCAAACTAAAGTTAGAGAACGGAAACCAAATTTTGGGGACGTATGCGATGGACGGACAAGGGTAACACTTAATGCCCCCTCTGCTACGGCGGGGCATAAAAAACTTTAACCACTCACTGAACCTAATATTTTACGACATCAATGATGGAATGTAGGATCTCTATATATTGCTTCCTTGACTTTGTCATGGCCTCAACAAAATATTCATTGTAACTAACCTCAGAAATATGTAAATCAAATTATAAATATATAAAATGTGTAAAAAATGCCTACATGCCCATTTTTTTTTTTACAGTAACCCAAAGCACTAGTGTGTGTGTATTGAAACATGCAGAAAGTTATCACATGACTTGTCAGCTATGTTATAGTGTATAAAATAAATTCACAAATCTTATGAGAGTGATTATAAAACTCTCACCAAAAAATAAGTCAATTTTATAAACTCTATATCAATTACAATTTTGACTTACTTAAATTATCCCATTTTACAAAATTTTAACACCCTGTACTAATTCCAAATAGAAAACATATAGCTGACTTCAAGTTCTGCAATAAACTTTCTTGTATAAGATAAAATCTGTTATACTTACTCGGTCTCTATCTCCATGCCTATCTTTGTTAGGGACACTATACACAGTGTTATCTATTGGTGCACTACCAGTTCTACTTAAAGATATTAAAAATTCATAATTATTTTTTTAATAAGGTATATCTGACATAAATACATCAGCAAGAATATTTTTCAAGTCAACTCATTCTACAATTATATGAAATAATTACCATCTTTGTGCATATTTGAATAAAATAAAGTTTTTAGAAAAGTATGTGTGCCTTAAGTGTAATGACCATAAGACACTTTGCCTGCATACACTCTCACATTTTCATATTCAGTGAACTGCTATAAACATACAAAAAGAATGAGAAACAAGTAAAACTGAGGGCTACTGCTCACTGATGATAACCCAACCCCCCCCCCCCCCCCCCGAAATATTTCGGTAAACAGGAAGTTGTTGAGTGATGAATCTGAAAACGCATCAGACGGTGTAACTTACTTATATAAACCCTGAAACCAAATTTCAGAAATCCTTGTCAAGTAGTTCCTGAGAAAAATGCAACGAAAATATTCATGGGACGGACAGACTGACGGATGGACTGACGGATGGATGGACTGACCGAAGGACAGACAGAGGTAAAACATGTATACCCCCACCTTTTTAAAGCGGGGGTACCACTTTTTTAAAGGGGGGTATAAAAATGAAAAGTTTACATTCCAGAGAACATCTAAAATATAAATATGCCATAACTATAGTGCAAATGCTTCTTACTGTTGCAGATTTCTAGATAGTGCCTACAATAGGCCACACTTTTGTTAAAACACCTTCAAACCACATGTGGGTTTTCATAAGTTGGTACTATATTTACAATAATGTACCATATGTTTATTGAAATATAATATTTATTCTAATTCAAATAAACATCACATTTAATCTTACCCATTTTCTTCTTTTGTTCGATCTGAAATACAGAAAAAAAAAATCTTATTGATTTGTAAACTCATAAAAAAATTCCTTTCTGCCAAATTTTCTGATAACAAATCTAGAATCCATGATATTAAGAATGCTTATAGGTCAAAATTTGAAGGAGGTTGAAACTGCTATGAAGTATGGTATACACTGTGTGGCAAATATTACCAATTTATCATGGCCATAGAGATATAATCCTTAACTTCCAATAACTGATATCAGTATCAACAGCATAACAATCTACATGTTTAAATAACATGTCAAAAGAGCTTTCAAAGTAACAACTCAAAAGCGAATGATGACAAAAAGAGAAAAATTTTAACCCTTGAAACAAGTCAGGAGTATCGGTACTCTTATTTGAATAAAATTACGATGTAATTTATAGGAGAAAACGCCTGATTGGTAAATAGTTCAACTAAAATTCCAAAACATTAATATATTCATAATTATTCAACTTTGAGTAAAAATTTGCCTGGGCATCTCTTAAAAGTTAATCTCAGAAAGAATGGATTGACAAACACTCAAGTGCAAAACTCAAAATTTCAAAATTGCATCAATAGGTAGCAAAGCTTATAAGCCAGCAAAAACTTTGATATGTGACTCTATACATCATGTACATGGCAAGGAATAAGGATGTTGTTAGTGTCTTTAACAGTCTTGAAAAACATTGGAAAATAGACAAAATGGTAGTCAGGTAGTGTTCTAAAAATATTTCCTTTTTAAACATCATGTCCAAACAATCCTCAATGAACAAATGCAGGGACAATCAAAGAAACCATTGTATCTATTGGCCATGCAATAGAAATCCTACTGGCCATGCAATAGAAATCAGGTCAGCAACATGCATATTTCAGCAACTTTTATTGAGGTACAATTTCTGTATTGGATTCTTTGTTTAAAATTTTCCATTTAATTTACATTCCAAAAGAACATAACTTCCCAAAAACATTTGAACCATGCTGACTGTCAAACTAATCAGATTTTACTGATGTAAACATTTGGCATGAATATAAAATAATCTCTGATGAGATATGAAGATGTGTGAACACTTACAATGTTTATTTCCCTTAAGCATTTCCATACCCCCTCCCTTTCCTGACAAAATTAGATACATTATGCCATTACACAAAAGTCTGGTTGTATTTAATATTTAAAATTCAGCACTGTATATATGCAATGCAAAAGCTTTTTAGCCCTAATTGAGTGTTCACCTGTTGCTTTAGATTGTTGTGTCTGAACTCTGCCAGACTCGGGCCTTATTTCAGATCTAGGACAAATTTTTGTCCCTTTTGCTGAAACCAACAGAATATGGTAACACTTTTACAAAATAAATCGTTTAAATTCATTTTAACACACATTAAAGATTTCAGGTTTCCTTAAACCGATTAAAATGCTTAAAGGTAGAGAAAGATTATTTGTGTTTATTCCTTCACATAATTAGAGGGGGATAAAATATATATATACCGGTAAACATAATTTCTGGTGAAAGTCTATAATAATATCCTATGTTAATTTTAGCAACACAATATCAACATAGAATGCTTTGAAAATAGTGGAATTAACTACTTTTGGAGTGTCAAAAACTCGTTGGAAGTACTTGATAAATTGCATGCATATATTGGTGATTTTGAATCTGTTCAAAGTTTTGATTTTTCTATCCTATATACCACTTTGCCTCATATTCTTATTAAGAAAAAATTCACACACCTAATTAAATGGGCATTTAAAAAGTCGGAATGCGAATACATATGTTCAAACTCTTTTAGGTCATTTTTCAGTAGCAACAAACAAAAGAGCTATGTCAATTGGACATGCTTTGATACTATATCTGCCCTTGAATTTTTACTTGATAACATTTTTGTTCGCTTTGGAGATTCCGTATATCGTCAAGTTGTCGGAATTCCAATGGGGACTAACTGTGCACCACTTATTGCGGACCTGTTTTTGTATTGTTATGAGTTACAATTTATGACTAAAATCAGCAAAGACCCATCGAAAAAACATCTGATACAAAAATTTAACAATACTTTTAGATATTTGGATGATATATTGGCTCTCAATAATGACGACTTCAGTATGTATACTAAAGAAAATTTATCCTGTTGAACTTACTTTAAATAAAGCTAATACTAACAATGACCACTGTCCTTTCCTCGATCTTGATATCTATATCATTAACGGGAAGCTTAATACAAAAATTTATGATAAAAGAGATGATTTTTCATTTCCTATCGTTAATTATCCATTTTTAGATGGTGACGTTCCCTTGTCACCATCTTATGGTGTTTATAATTCTCAACTTGTACGATACGCTCGTGTATGTAACAACGTATTAGATTTTAGCGAAAGAAATTTATGTATTACTGAAAAATTATTACACCAGGGTTTTCGATATCATAAACTAGTCAAAACATTTACTAAATTTTATCATCGGTATAAGGACATCATTCGTAAATATAACTCAACATGCAGACATCTTATACATTCTGGTATTTCACATCCAATCTTTTATGGTAATATTCTTTACAAAGCACAAAAATGTCAGTATTCACCTCAAAAGCTAACAAAACCTTTAAACAGACTTATTAAGAAGGGATATAGTTAAGATACTGTTGTCAGGTCATTAAAGATTGCATATTTTGGCTTTAATATTGATTCACTTATATATAGGGTCTTTGCATCGGAATTAAACATATTTATTCTAAAACCAGTTGTTGGCATGACACGGGTTATGTTCTCATATATTATATGACGGTATAATACTAAACCAGTGATCTCCCCAGGCCGTTTTAGCGTCGCGGCGCCGCGATGCTATAATTTTTTACCGTGACGCTATAATAATTTCCGCGACGCTATAATTATTTTGAGGACGCTATTTTTTTTCTTGTCTGCTCTATACATTGCCGCAATATCGATGTCCTAAATTTCGAACTTTCATCGAATTGCCGCTTGTGATCATAAAAATTATATCACCTTTAATTGTAATCCCTTCAAATCGGACATAAGAGGCAATTAAGATTGATTAAATAGGTGTTAATTGCCCTTTGGGTGATAACTGTTTGGATACGAATACCCCAAGCTGACACTTATGACATGACTGATAACACGTGGCCCAATTGCAAAATTTTGACATCGAGAAAATCATTAACAATTCGAAATCTACGTTTGAATCAAGGCAAATTCGTCTCCTAAGAGAAGAAAAAAAAAACAAAAAAAGGGGCGAACTTAACACGCTGGTCGTTTGTTATTTCAAACTAACAACTTGTAAAGAAGTGTTTTCTTTCCATTCCGGTACTCGAGAGCGTACATAAAACATTTCGATTCTGGGCAAAATAAGTTCTATACTTCATTAGAACGTGATGAAAATTGCCTTTAGGTAATGTTCCATCTATTTATTACAGTAAAATCGTGATATATTCATCCAATTCGCTTCTCAAACATTGTTTATTTTCGTAAATTTTTCTTCGAACGCCATTGATATATTTGTACTAACTACGGATCGGAAGCGGACCAGCTATGATCAAAATCCGCATTTTTACGGTAATAACTACAGACGCAGAAACGGCACAGCTGACAGAATAATAATGATCCCAATAGGGAAAGCTACTCATTCCACATGAATCTACAGACTATTTGTTAGATCTCCTTGCAAAATTTATTTATTTCTATGTAAACGCATTGTTTCAATTAATTTACTGATTAAAGTAGTTTAACAATGTTAAAAACATATATCTGTTTGAATCAGCTGGGACTGATACATTGAGTCTCAGGAAATAATGAATTTCATAAACATGATAAACAGAATAGTTTTTAATTGAAATGGTATTACTATATGATACTTTCTTTTCCTTTTTGATATAAAAGAAGTTCTCTTTTGTACTAGATTTTTAGTTGGTAGTTTCTAACAAGAAAAATATAATTTTGTAACTATAAATGAATATTAAAGAAATAAACTAAAAGAACAGTTATACTTTAATTGTATTCTCAGTTATGAATTGAAAAAAATCAACATAACTTAAAAGAAAGAGAGCATCGCCGCGACGCAACAAATGACATTGAAAAATAAATACAATTTTTTTTTACGCCAAATGTGATGCTATCCAAAATTCCTGGGGAGAACACTGACTAAACCCCTAACAGGAGGGATTGTGCCTGATATTCATATGATGAAGACATAATCTTTCAATCAGTTTAATTGAGGTCTGGAGCTGGCATGTCAGTAACTGCTAGTAGTCTGTTGTTATTTATGTATTGTTGTCATCTTGTTTATTTTCTTTTGTTTCCTATTCTGACATCGGACTCGGACTTCTCTTGACCTGAGTTTTACTGTGCGTACTGTTGTACGTATGTTTTTTCTACATTGGCTAGAGGTATAGGGGGAGGGTTGAGATCTCAAAAACATGTTTAACCCCGCCGCATTTTTGCACCTGTCCCAAGTCAGGAGCCTCTGGCCTTTGTTAGTCTTGTATCATTTTTAATTTTAGTTTCTTGTGTATAATTTGGAGTTTAGTATGGCGTCCATTATCACTGAACTAGTATACATATTTGTTTAGGGGCCAGCTGAAGGGTGCGGGAGTTTCTCCCTGCATTGAAGACCCATTGGTGGCCTTCGGCTGTTGTCTGATCTATGGTCGGGTTGTTGTCTCTTTGACACATTCCCCATTTCCATTCTCAACTTTATTGGTTCAATTCTATTTTTTTTTATATTTTCTAACTTATTTTTTTAAATAGTTTACCACAATTTTGGTTTGTCCTCCCTATCCTTTACATGTATGAGTGAAAATCATTAACCTACAGAAAACAGTTATTATCAACATTCTATTTACTCTAATTCATATTACAGTATCTTAAAGTGAAATGTAAAATAACAAAGTACATACATGTTTCTCCCTCGTTCTTCTTTCTGAAGGCTACAAAGTACACAATAACTAAGATGAGTATGATTCCAACAAATGATCCAATTACTGCTCCTGCAATTACTCCACCGCTGGCTGTGTCTAAAATGTATATAACAATTCAATGTATTTATATTACTGTTGAGTTCTTGAGAAACACTTCATAAGGTAAAGGCAAACTAAATTTAACAAAATTATTTTTGGTAAATTTCTTAGCATTATTGTAGTAATTAAACCATTTTTTAGCAGTAATTGGTTGTTTTTTTTCTATAACAAATTCTATGTTTTATTTATTAGGAATTAAATTAATATATAACATACTGAAAAGAAAGCACAAATCATTATTATACAAAAAGTATTGAAAGTTTGCTTCATACATCATGCACATCCAATTTATATATAGTTTTACATAGCTGTAATAGCATACTTATTTAAGCATGATAAGCAATAATTGAATAAAGGAAGCTTTTTAATCTATCACTTTTAAGCTGGTTAAAAGCAGGGCCTAATCTAGGATTTTTGAAAGAGAGAAGCCTTATACTGATTTTGATGATAACATGACTTCGCTATGAAGTTAGTCATCAGGCAAGTTTAAGCAAATAATCCAATTTCAATATTTTTTGGCAACTTAAAAAAAGGCATTTCGCCGGCAAGGTCATGGCCTAGAACTTAAAAGTACCTTTTATAAATAAAATGAACTTCCAAACCAGACAGCACTTTTGTGAACAACATCACTCACTGCATGTTTAACTGAATTTGCTATAGTTATATACATGTACATTCAAGAAAATTAAAAAGAACATTATTTTTACCTTCACACATTAAAAAAAAACCAGCATAAGTAAAAAAAAAAAGGTAGGTTTCAAGCTTTGTAAATCAATCTTAAGTTTCAAATTATTTCAATAGCACATTAATTTCTGGAACTTATTTTTTAAAGAAACCATTTGAATCAATTCTAGACATATATTCAGGGTTTGCATGCAATATACAATTTTCACGACTGTAACAGGGATAAAAAAATAAGTTGAGAAATAATTGAACCCTTGAATTAATACTTGCCTTCAGAGCCTTGTTGGTTAGTAGATGGTACAGTATCTGAAAAAAATAAAAATGGAAAACATAATATGTTTTCTTCAATTGTTACCATGAGTGAGATCTATTATTAAAATGATACTTCTTTACTTTGTTATTTTGCAATTTTACAATAATGGATATGGTCAAATGTTTGCATGCTCCATTCATTATAACATAATACAAGTTTAACCTATCAAAAAAGGTATAAATGCTTCCTAGAATCATTTAATGACTTCAGCTTTTGTTTTTGTGATAGCATAATAGAAAAAGAAAAGAAAAATCAAATAGTCCTAAGTACTTCTTATGTGTAAGTAATTAAAGGACTTGTAAAAGTAAAAAAAAAAAAAGAACAAATGTTTACACAATATAAACAGTAGAATAAATATATATTTATACTCTGCTAAGAAGAGGGGGAGGGACAGTGACTCATTATTTTATTATTTACAAATGTATTTCATTAGTTTTCAATACTAATTATAATGAAAATTTAACTTATTTTAATTTCTGTTTATGCATACATGTACGCATATAAAATAAAAAAGTTCTTTTTCAATTTACATGTATTTCAATAAAACCTATATTACATTACTAATGATATATCATGTCATAATCTGAAAGGTGGATCAATCTTATAGTGTGGGCTTACCACAGTGACACTGTGCTATCAAAAAGTCCTGGGGAGAACACTGTAGATGTAAAATCAACAAGACCAATACTGGGTCTGTATACCAGTGTGCATGCAATTGATTGAGGTAATACATGTATGTACATGTATACTGAAGCATAAATGACTATTCCCTTATATTCAACAAAGACACAAAAAACTTGGAAGAAAAATTTTCCTTGTTCAATGAGTGTTGTAAAATTTCAAAATATCTGCAAACAGGAAGTGGCTGCATGGCTATGTAAAAATTGCCTCATTACAACTGAACATAATCAAACTGCAGACAAAAAATAAAATAAATGTGGATAGTGTCCACATGTGGACACAGATGATGCCCCCGCTTGCATATCATATAGTTATAAAGGGACATAACTGAAGAACGGTAAAAGTGATGCTACCCAAATTTGAACTTGATCTGAGTTTTGTGATAATAAGCATTGTGTGTAAGTCTCATAACATTTGGTTTAGGCTAACTTAAGTAGATAACAGAAACTAAAAATTCAGCAATTTTTCTATTTGTAAACACGCATAACTCTAGAATGGTTGTGCATAAGTTTTATAACATTTGGTTGAGACAAACTAAAGTTAGAAAATGGAAAAGAAAAATTCAGCAATTTTTATGTTTATAAAGGGACATAACTCAAGAATGGTAAAAGTGTCGCCACCAAATTTCGTACTTAATCTGTATTATGTAGTAATAAGCATTGTGTATAAGTTTCATAACATTTGGTTGAGGCAAACTAAAGTTAGAAAACGGAAACAAAAAATTTGTACTTGATCTTAGTTTTGTGGTAATGAATATTGTGTATAGGTTTCATAATGTTTGGTTTGGGCAAACTTAAGTTACAGAATGGAAACTAAAAATTTTGCAATCTTTCGATTTATAAAGGGGTATAACTCAATAATGGTTAAAGTGACTCTACCCAAATTCAACTTGATCTGTGTTTTATCAGTGGAAGTCAAAATTAAACATTGCATTGTATAAAGCATTGATTGCAGTTGTTTCAACTATAATCATAGATAAAGGAAGATAACTCTATTTTAAAAATAAAATGCTCCGCTGGGGCGCAGCTTGATACGACCGCAGAGGTCGAACCCTGAACAGTTGGGGCAAGTATGGACACAACATTCAAGCTTGATACAGCACTGAATTTGGATTGTAATTAAATATTTGACACAGCATAGGTTTCTGACACAGAATGAATGTGGTCTAAGAACTTAAAAATTTTTAATTTACCTATTCAAACCATATCATTATTATTTGCTTTTATATATAAATCAGAAATAACCAATTTAAAAAGGAAAATTTTAAAGAAAAAAAAGGAAAAAAAAATCCCCCCCCCCCCCCCCCAAATTTTTTGAACCTCCTTATGATTCATCACCCCCAAACTCAATCCCAGCCTTCCCTTTGTGGTATGGTAACTTGCAGTACAATTTCAGAAAGATCCATACACTTGAACACAAGTTATTGTCTGGAAACTAGAATAAACTGCTTCACTGAGCGCAGCTGGATACGCCCGCAGAGGTCCAACCCTGAACAGTTGGGGCAAAAATGGATACAATATTCAAGCTTGATACAGGTCTGAATTTGGATTGTAATTAAATATTTGACATATTACAGGTTTCTGAATAAATGTAGTCAAAGAACTTGAAATTGGTTATATGAATTGAATTTATATTCAATTAAAGATTTCTTGCTGTTGTGCAATACACTGTGCTGTTGCGCAATACTTAGTAAATCTGTTGTCAGACTATAAACAAATAAAGTTCAATTAATTCTCAATGTCATATTAGAAATTTATGAAAATCAAAAGGGAGCTTACATCAATAGATATAAACAATTCACCAAAGTTTCATGAGAATTGCTGACAGCATTTTTGAGTTATTGTCCAAAAACTGGAAAATCCCCCCTTTTTTAATGAATAAAACCCCACAACTCAGAAATGTAAAATGTAAAATTTATAAAATTCTAAAGGGAGCTTACTTAAATAGATATAAACAATTCACCATAGTTTCATAAGAACTGCTGTAAGCATTTTTGAGTTTTTGTCAGAAAACTGGAAAATCCTCCTTTTTTATGAATAAAACCCTGTAACTCGGAAACGTAAAATCTAAAATTTATAAAAATTCAAAGGGAGCTCATGTCAATAGATATAAACAATTCACCACAATTTCTTGAAAGTTGGTGAAAGCATTCTTGAGTTATTGTCCGAAAACTGGAAAATCCCCCTTTTTTTAATGAATAAAACCCCATAAGTCAGAAACGTAAAATTTTAAATTTATAAAAAACGAAAGGGAGCTCACGTCAATAGATATAAACAATTCACCAAAGTTTTATGCAAATTGGTTAAAGTGTTTTTGAGTTAGTGTCCGACATGTTGACGACGGACGGACAGACGGACGGACGGACAGACGGACAATGGTATACCATAATACGTCCCGTAAACGGGCGTAAAAAAATGCTTGTTTGTTGGCCCCTTTTTGGCCCCAAATTCCTAAACGTTTAGGGCAATTACCCCCAAACTCAATTCCAGCTTTCCCTTTGTGATATGGAATCTTGTAGTACAATTTCATAAAGATCCATACACTTACACATAAGTTATTGTCCTGAAACTAGAAAAATGCTTGTTTTTTTGCCCCTTTATGGCCCCTAATTCCTAAAATTTTGAGGTAATTACCCCCAAAATCAATCCTAGCCTTCCCTTTGTGGTATGGTACCTTGCAGTACAATTTCAGAAAGATCCATACACTTGAACACAAGTTATTGTCTGGAAACTAGAAAAATGCTTATTTTTTGCCCCTTTTTGGCCCCTTATTCCTAAGCGTTTAGGGCAATTACCCCCAAACTCAATTCCAGCTTTCCCTTTGTGATATGGAACCTTATGGTACAATTTCATAAAGATCCATACACTTACACACAAGTGATTGTCATGAAACTAGAAAAATGCTTGTTTTTTGCCCCTTTTTGGCCCCTAATTCCTAAAATTTGGAGACAATTACCCCCAAAATCAATCCCAGCATTCCCTTTGTGATATGGAACCTTGTGGAACAATGTCAGAGAGATCCATACACTAACACACAAGTTATGTCTGGAAGTTACAAAAATGCTTATTTTTGGCCCCTAATTCCTTAACTGTTTGTACCATAACCCCCAAAATCAATCCCCACCTTCCTTTTGTGGTATTGAACCTTGTGGTAAAATTTCATAGAGATCCATTCACTTAAACTAAAGTTAGAGTGCGAAAACCAATGTGTCTTCGGACGACGACGACGACGCCAACTTCATACCAATATACGACCACAAAAATTTTTTTGCGGTCGTATAATTTCTTGATATTTAGAAGAAAATAAAAATTTTGCAATTTTTCCATTTAAAAAGGGGCATAACTCTAGAACGGTTAAAGTGACGCCACCAAAATTCTAACTTGATCTGTGTTTTGTGGTAATAAGCATTGTGTATAAGTTTCATAACATTTGGTTGAGGCAAACTTAAGTTAGAGAACGGAAATAAAAATTTTGCAATTTTTCTATTTATAAAGGGGCATAACTCTAGAACGGTTAAAGTGACGCCACCAAAATTCAAACTTGACCTGTGTTTTTGTGGTAAGAAGCATTGTGTATACTTTCATAACATTTGGTTGAGGCAAACTCAAGTTAGAAAACGGAAACCAATTTTGGGACGTACATACACGTACGTACAGACTGACAAGGGTAAAACTTAATGCCCCCACCGCTATGGCGGAGGCATAATTATTCCCTTCAGTATGAGCCAAGAAAAGTTTGATAAAAATTTTCCTTGTACAATAAGTGTTGTAAAGTTTTAAACAATTGGCAAACAGGAAGTGACTGTATCAAGCTGAAGACCAAATATCTAATCATTCCCTTTCATATTTAGAAGCCAAGAAAACTTTGACAAAAGTTTTCTACCCAAGGTCTTTTGGATATACAGACGGACAAACAATCTGACATACAAACGGAGGGAGTCAAGCGGTTACTAGGCAATGCAGGTAAAAACCAGAATGCTAATTATATTAATGAAATACATTTTACTTTGATATTTTAGCATGATACATTTTGTAGGTCACAACGGTCAAAAGATGAAATGTCTCATCAGAAGTACACATTATCCTTTTCCAAGCAGACAAATCCAATCTCTGTTTTTACTAAATTATACATGTTTATTGGAAAAGCATTAAATGTTCATTTGAATGCCTTTGGATTGTTCCAATTTAGGATCAAACTCACAATGCAGCCTCGCCTACATCAGTTGAGCACACTACCATAATGCTGTAACATTCTGGGGCCATGGTGGCTTAGTAGTCTACTATTGCACCACTAGCCAGTTGTGTGTTTTAGCCCCCCCCCCAACCCACTCAATGTGGCAGGTGCGTTTGATTCCAATTTTAATTGACTAGGACTACCTGTCTTCCTGCAGGAGGTAGTGGTTCTCAGGCCACTCAGGCTTCCTCTACCAATAAAAACTGGTGGCCTCGAAAAAGCTAATAGTGCTGAAAGTGGCGTTAAAACATATAAAAATCAATCAATCTGTAACGTTTTTTTTTAGGCATTATGCATGTTATGTTTCTGAAGTAAAAAAATTCTGAAAGTATTAAGAGTCACTTTAATTTTGAACAAAAGTTACTTATAAACCAACTTTCTATGTACACTGTGTAAGCTTACCATTTCATCAAATCTTGTTAGAAAAAATAAGCATATTAAATACACAAACTCACATTTTCTTATAGTGATATTTGCTGATAATGGACTGCCCACTCCACATATTGTAGTTGATCCACCAACTTCACAACTAAACTCTGTAAAGTCATTAATAGCTGATACATTGTATCTCAGAGTTGATGTCCGTCTATTCTGACATCCACTTGAGGTAACTGCTGATTGGTCATAGTCTGCACTATTAGCCCAACCTTTAAAGTTTGAGTTTATGTCACTACGGTAACACCACCTAAAGTCTTGAGCTGGTCTTCCTACTGTTCCTGAACATCGTAACTGGACCACTTCGTTTGGATTATATATTAACTCTGGTTGCGAAGGATTTGGCATTATTGGATCAATACTTGTTGGATTAACTAAAAAAAGAAAAGAAATTATTTACAGTTGTGACATTGTTGTGTGATGTAAAAATAAAAATACTGGCGTACACTACTTTTGTGGTCAAAAGATTGGGTAAGCTTTAAAATTGAGACCATTTAGCATCGGGAAACAAACTATAGACTATCTAATTCACCCATTTTCTGAAGGAAAGGAGTCCGATGTCAGAATAGGAAACAAAAGAAAATAAACAAAATGACAATAATACATAAATAATAACAGACTACTAGCAGTTACTGACATGCCAGCTCCAGACCTCAATTAAACTGATTGAAAGATTATGTCTTCATCATATGAATATCAGGCACAATCCCTCCTGTTAGGGGTTTAGTATTATACCATCATAAAATATATGAGAAGAACATAACCTGTGTCATGCCAACAACTGGTTTTAGAATAAATATGTTTAGATTACTTGATAAAGAAATCATAATAAGGAATCAGTCTGAGTGTTTTTATCTCTCTAAATTGTTTATCAGCATGAAGGGTTGTATGTATAGTGCAATCAATTCAAAATCATTCTACACTAAAAAATACTTTTTTAAATTCTGTGTGTATCACACTACAAAATTTCCTTTATTCCATTCAGTTTACAAGCTTAAGTGCCTTTAACAAATTAGCACCCTTTTCAAATCTTGGCTGGGACACATGAACATTTTACTATCATAACTATACACTGTATCAACAATTACATTGTACTACATTGATCATACCTTGGAATTCCACAGTCCCAACTTTTTCTTTTTCAATTGGACTATTACCAGTTGAACCACCAGTAATTTTACATTGGTAAGTGCCTTCATCTGTACAAGTGACCTGACTAGGTGCAATGTCAAATGCTATTCCAGAACCACTTACTGGGTACACATATTCCTTAATCATAGTAACACGACTCTGCCATCCTGATATCTTCCAAGATGTTTCATTTTTTAAATCTTTCAGAAAAACAGTCACAATGTCTAACATTCCTGTTGATGTATTTTTAGACAGAGTAACATAATTTACAACACCCCACGGAGGAGACGTGGAGGGACTACATCCTAATCGAATCTTTTCTTCTCCAAACTGGATTCTTTGTGGTAAAATAAGAGTAGCCTCTTGAGATGATACAAAATTACCTGTAATAAATAACAAATATGGATAAAATTAATTAAATATACTTTTTTTTGTATACTGTAGATTCAGAATTTATTGCGATGTTTTTATTATTGCGAAAAATGCAACAGGGTTATAATCCCAATAATTTAAACTCGCATTTTGAAATTTTTTGATATAAATTTAACAGGATTTTTCTCAATATCGCAAAAATTAAAATCGCATTTTAGTCTAAAATAACAAAATCGCAATAATAAATGCACGCAAATGCCAATAATTTCTGAATTTACAGTATTTACAATGTATATACTTGAATAGAATTTTATTTATGACTCATATTGTCAACAGTAAAATAATGCACAGATGAAAACACAATATACATGTAGTTGAGAAATTCATTTTACATGTACTTTTTTACCTACTAAAGGTTTAACTAGCCCTCCTTTGTAAATATGAACTGTAGTTATATTACTAGTTCAATTATAACAAGAAATGATTGTAACAGGCTGCTGTTACGAAGTCTCCCAAACGAAGCTCCCATAATTCGTAATTCCCAGGGTCGCCTGACATTGGGCAACATCCAGTGAAAATTGGTTTGGTCCAGTAAAGATATATGCATTAGTGATGCCTGGGGACTAACCCTGTATATCATTCAAATGATTTTGGCATGACAAACAAGAATATATATGGTTTAGGGGTGGGGATCTCGACCATTTACAAGATACTAGAACATTGGGGGTGGGGGGGACCCCTGGGGACTGACCCTATACGTCATTCAAATGTTTGTTACATGACGAACAGGAATATATATGGTTTAGGGATGGGGATCTCAACCATTTACAAGATATTAGAACATTGGGGGTGAGGGGAACCCCTGGGGACTGACCGTATACGTCATTCAAATGTTCCAGACATGATAAATAGGAATATATATGGTTTAGGGGTGGGGATCTCAACCATTTACAAGATATTAGAACTTTCTCAAATGGCAGGGGGTCCGGATGACCCCTGGGGACTAACCCTGTATATCATTCAAACCATCTTAGCATGACAAGCCAAAATATATATGGTTTAGGGGTGGGGATCTTGACAACTTACAAGATATTAGAACTTTCTTAAATGGCAGGGGGTGGGTGTGACCCCTTGGGACTAACCCTGTATTTCATTTGATGTGCTTTATCATGACAAACCAGAATATATATGGTTTAGTGGTGGGGATCTCGACCATTTACAAGATATTAGAACTTTCTCAAATGGCAGGGGGTCGGGATGACCCCTGGGGACTAACACTGTATATCATTCAAACCATCTTAGCATGACAAGCCAAAATATATATGGTTTAGGGGTGGGGATCTTGACAACTTACAAGATATTAGAACTTTCTTAAATGGCAGGGGGTGGGTGTGACCCCTTGGGACTAACCCTGTATTTCATTTGATGTGCTTTATCATGACAAACCAGAATATATATGGTTTAGTGGTGGGGATCTCGACCATTTACAAGATATTAGAACTTTCTCAAATGGCAGGGGGTCGGGATGACCCCTGGGGACTAACACTGTATATCATTCAAACCATCTTAGCATGACAAACCAGAATATATATGGTTTAGGGATGGGGATCTTGACCACTTAGAAGATATTAGAACTTTCTTAAATGGCATGGGGTGGGGGTGACCCCTGGGGACTAACCCTGTATTACATTTGATGTGCTTTATCATGACAAACCAGAATATATATGGTTAAGGGGTGGGGATCTCGACCATTTACAAGATATTAGAACTTTCTAAAATGGCAGGGGGTCAGGATGACCCCTGGGGACTAACCCTGTATATCATTCAAACCATCTTAGCATGACAAACCAAAATATATATGGTTTAGGGGTGGGGATCTTGACCACTTACAAGGTATTAGAACTTTCTTAAATGGCAGGGGGTGGGGTGACCCCTGGGGACTAACCCTGTATTTCATTTAATGGGCTTTATCATTTAGAACATTTTCAATTAAAAAGATTGTGTTTATCACAAATGGTTTTTAATTTATAATCATTTGAAAATTTTAAAAAATAAAATCCCACAGGGTTCTATAGTAAAACCCTCTTTTCTTTTTGCCCCTCAAAGTACCCCTTTATAAACCCCATTGCACAAACAAAACCCTGATTGCACCACTAGACATGTTAGTCTAACATATTGTGAAACCCTAAGTTAATCTGACAAGCGGTTTTGGAGAACAGGTGTGGACAAGTTCAAATTTAAAAGTGGCAGAAGAAGAAGAAGAAGAAGAAGAAGAAGAATAATAATAATAATAAGAACTGAGCAAAAACATTAAGTCTTCCCAAACTTCGTTTGGGAGACTTAATTATTGGCACACATTACTGGGAGTTTTCCTGCCAGTCATTTCACTTTTCCAGATCACCGAAAGCAATATTTAGTCTTCAGGTGTTCATAACAGTTGCTTTGGTCATCAGCAATTTTCCATATTTGCCAGGTTGGTGAAATAACAATTTATCATTTAAAAATGAAGAATTTCAAAGACAAAGACAGTCAATTCATTTCTTAAGCAACTTGGTGAAAGCATTAACTAATCATGTTAATAAGAAAGGTCATTTGTTATTTCATAGAAACAACTTTCTGTGCAAACAAGTCAAATAAATAATAAATATGCTTTATTTAGAGTCGGCATAGTATACAAATAAGGACATAACATAAGCTCTACTAAGCTTTTAACCGTCAAAGTATTGGAAATAGGTTGAAATATTTTTTAATCAAAGTGATCTGAAATCACTAATGGAAAGATTGGTAGAATTGTGTGTATAATTTAAACTTTTTTACTCCTTCACTGCAGTGATCGATGGTGTACAAGAACATCTTGCTATAGCACTATTACAGTGTTCCAGCTTGATTATTTTCACAGGGTGGTCCGCTCGCCCTTTCTCGACTGCCGCCCTGTGCCCTTTTTCACAAGTCCATGCTTTTCAGTATTGCCGTATTATTTTGATGAAAATACTATAATTCTACCTGTCACCATGTTTCTGAAAAGTTTATGACCCTCAGCAAATTAACCTTTTATCAGAGTTCTCGAAATCTTTTTTTTCCTGGTGGTCATTTTGACCATCAAGACCAAAATTCTGGTGGTCCTAGAGAAAATTTGGTGGTCCTGCAATATCACTTGATTTTAACCCTATTACTTAGTAGGTTTCATCAATAATGGCTCAATACATTGACTCCATCCTATTTTATGGACATGTTATGTTTTAGCAGGTTTGGTGGTTTATTATACATTTTGGTCTCTGTATAATATAATAAAATGCTTCGCTGGGGCGCAGCTTGATACGACCGCAGAGGTCGAACCCTGAACAGTTGGGGCAAGTATGGACACAACATTCAAGCTTGATACAGCTCTGAATTTGGATTGTTATTAAATATTTGACACAGCATAGGTTTCTGACACAGAAAGAATGTGGTCTAAGAACTTGAATTTTTTTAATTTACCTATTATGGTCCAATGTCCAAAATCAAAATACATGGTTAGATTCAGCATATCAAAGAACCCCATATTTTCAATTTTTGTTGAAATCAAACAAAGTTTAATTTTGGACCCCAACTTGGACAAACTTGAAAACTGGGCCCATAATCAAAAATCTAAACACATGTTTAGATTCAGCATATCAAAGAACCCCAATAATTCAATTTTTGCTAAAATCAAACTAAGTTTAATTTTGGACCCTTTGGACCTTAATGTAGACCAATTTAAAAAACGGGACTTAAAATTAAAAATCTAAATACACAGTTAGATTTGGAATATCAAAGAACCCCAATAATTCAATTTTTGATGAAATCAAACAAAGTTTAATTTTGGACCCTTTTGACCTCAATATGAACCAATTTGATAGCGGGGCCCACAAATAAAAAATCTAAATTCATGGTTAGATTCAGCATATCAAAGAACCCCATATATTCAATTTTTGTTGAAATCAAAAAAAGTTTAATTTTGGACCCCAACTTGGACCAACTTGAAAACTGGGCCCATAATCAAAAATCTAAACACATGTTTAGATTTAGCATATCAAAGAACCCTAAGAATTCAATTTTTGTTAAAATCAAACTAAGTTTAATTTTGGACCCTTTGGACCTCAATGAAGACCAATTTTAAAAAATGGGACCAAAATTAAAAATCTAAAAACACGGTTAGATTTGGCATATCAAAGAACCCCAATAATTCAATTTTTGATGAAATCAAACAAAGTTTAATTTTAGACCCTTTTGACCTCAATATGAACCAATTTGATAGCGGGGCCCACAAATAAAAAATCTAAATACATGGTTAGATTCAGCATATCAAAGAACCTCATATATTCAATTTTTGTTGAAATCAAACAAAGTTTAATTTTGGACCCCAATTTGGACCAACTTGAAAACTGGGCCCATAATCAAAAATCTAAATACATGTTTAGATTCAGCATATCAAAGAACCCCATATATTCAATTTTTGTTGAAATCAAACAAAGTTTAAATACTGGACCCTATCTTGGACCAACTTGAAAACTGGGCCCATAATCAAAAATCTAAACACATGTTTAGATTCAGCATATCAAAGAACCCCAAGAATTCAATTTTTGTCAAAATCAAACTAAGTTTAATTTTGGACCCTTTGGACCTTAATGTAGACCAATTTAAAAAACAGGACCCAAAATTAAAAATCTAAATACACGGTTAGATTTGGAATATCAAAGAACCCCAATAATTCAATTTTAGATGAAATCAAACAAAGTTTAATTTTGGACCCTTTTGACCTCAATATGAACCAATTTGATAATGGGGTCCACAAATAAAAAATCTAAATACATGGTTAGATTCAGCATATCAAAGAACCCCATATATTCAATTTTTGTTGAAATCAAACAAAGTTTAATTTTGGACCCCAATTTGGACCAACTTGAAAACTGGGCCAAAAATCAAAAATCTAAGTACATGTTTAGATTCAGCATATCAAAGAACCTCATGTATTCAATTTTTGCTAAAATCA